TGATCACCACATGACGTGGCGAATCTTATTGATTGATTGAATCCACATTTATTTATTTATTTATACACTAATTAAGGATTATTAAGATTTATTAATGTTGTTCCAAAGGACAAGCTTGTCGGACAATGTCCAACCGTATGAAATTTCCTCCTCTTTCTCTCCATTTTTTCACAGTTTTAACACACAAGCCAACCGATGTATTCTTTGTTTTTTTTTTTTCCTTCTTTTTATCTAATTCATATATTAAAAGTTGTAAGTAGTAATATTTAGATGGTTAAAGTGTATTCAGCATTTCGAAGTATTTTTTCAGATATATCTAACACTCCGAAATATGTTATAGTGCATTTAGCACTCCAAAATATTTTTTAGGTGCGTTCAATACCTTGAAGTAATTTTTTTTTTTGCCTTGGTGTTGGATGTATCAAAAAATATTTTTGAGTGCTGAATGTACCTTAAAAAATATTTTGAGGTGTTGAATGCACCAAAAAATATTTTACGGTACTGAATGGACCTAAAATAATATTTTAAAGTATTGAATGCACTGTAAAGAGCTGGATGCATATGAGAAAATATTTCAAAGTGCGAGATACATCTTTAACATTTAAAGTTTATAAAATTCGACGGTTAGCACCTTTTAAAGGACGTTGACAAAAATGGCACCTTGAGAAAACTCAAATGTATTGTTATTTTATAGAATTATCATTCATTTTTTTTCTTTATCATAAACAAACGCGTTATATTATAAAAATTATGTTTTATGTTTTTTTAACTGATAACCTTTTATATTATAAATATTTTGGATTATAAAACCATAAAGGTAACAGTTGAGTATCCTTATTTTGATGATACACGATTAACTTATAACTTAAATAGATTAATTGACAATCTTAAATCGTTTATTTGAAAATTAAATGTATAAGATAAAGTGGTTGGATTAAATCAGAATAAATTTCGTTGTATTATTTCGTCTCCATTTATCTCTTTATATAGCTCGTTTTGTGTCCGATTTCCCAATGTTTTTTTTTATTACTCTTTTTGCTCCATGAATATTGAATGGTTAGAGCTGGGAAGGTGATCACCACATGACGTGGCGAATCTTATTGATTGATTGAATCCACATTTATTTTTTTATCAAAATTTTTTTATTCATTTATATACTAATTAGGGATTATTAAGATTTATTAATGCTGTTCCAAAGGACAAGCTTGTCGGACAATGTCCAACCATATGAACGTCCCACCTCTTTCTCTCCATTTTTTCACAGTTCTAACATTCAAGCCAACCAATATATTCTTTTTTCTTTTTCTTTTTTCCTTCTTTTTATCTAACTCATATATTAAAAGTCGTAAGTAATAATATTTAGACAGGTTAAAGTAGATCTAGTACTCTGAAATATCTTTTCAAATACATCTAACACTCCAAAATATTTTATAATACATTCAGTACCCTAAAGTATTTTTTAGGTGTGTCCAACACCTTGAATTTTTTTTTCTTTGACACTGGATGTACCAAATTTTTTTTTTGAATATTGGACGCACCTAAAAAAAATATTTTAAGGTGCTAAATATACCAAAAAATATTTTACGGTACTACATGTATTTAAAATAATATTTTAAAGTACTGAATGTACTGTAAAAAGCTGGATACACATGAAACCTGGGTTAAACGTTCAAAGTTCATAAAATTCCACGGTCAGTACCCTTAAAAGGACGTTGACAAAACTGGCACCTTGAGAAAACTCATATGTATTGTCATTTTATAGAATTATCATTTATGGTTTTTTCTTTATCATAAACAAACGCGTTATATTTAAAAAATTATGTTTTATGTTTTCTTAAACTTATAACCTTTTATATTATAAATATTTTGGATTATAAAACCATAAAGGTAACAGTTGAGTGTCCTTATTTTGATGATACACGATTAACTTATAATTTAAATAGATTAATTGATAATCTTAAATAGTTTGTTTGAAAATTAAATGTAAAAGATAAAGTGGTTGGATTAAATCAGAATAAATTCTTTGTATTATTTCGTCTTCCCTCAGCTATTTATCTCTTTATATAGCTCATTTTGTGTCCGATTTCCCAATGGTTTTTTTATTACTCTTTTTCTCCATAATATAAGACGTCACTTACAAGAAAATTGTATTCTAAAATATAGGATGTTGTTAAGATAAGGGAAAATTAATTTGAAGGTCCTCATAGTTTTGTTAAATTTTAAATCAGGTCCTTAGAATTTTTTTCTTTTTATTGGCTCCTTTAACCTTTTATAGCCATATGCCTTAGTCCTTACCGTTAGACTTGATTAACACCGTTAAAAATTTCCACTGGCCGAATGTGTTTGATGAAGCTCTGCTCTTTCCTTCACTGTCATTCTTCCGATCCCCTTCCAACCTCTCCATAAAAACCTTTCCTTCCTCAGTTGCAAGGGACCCTCTCTGACATTTTTTTTCTGGCTAAAATGTAATGATGGATGGAGTTTAGAAGATTTTAGGGGATGTCACTTTTACTTGCTTTTGTTTTTCAATACTGGTTTGTTGCTTTTATTTTTCTGTCGAGTAAAAATCTTTTGATACTCAAACCTCACCATTTATTAGCTATAGTCAAAGAACTAATCCAAAGCTGTTTACAATGATGATCACTCTCTCTCTGTTTGAGTGTGTGTATGTGTATATAATCTTAGTGCTGTTCACTTTCTAGTTACTCACTCATCACTCTTAAGTGAGAACTGTTGGTGTTCCATTGAAGTTTTGAGAGCCTCTGTTTTTTGTGTTTGAAACAGAGCCAAACAAAGTGTTTTACTTAATGAAAGTGCGAATCACTCCAAGTACTTAAAGGACGGTTACAGTTATGCCCAGAGACTGTCATGGTCGGTTCGGCACTGTCTTCCACTTCTTCCACCCCTTCTCTAATGACTTCTTTGCCTGCAAAGTCATCGAGGAGCGCCTTCTCACCGATTCCCTCCATCGTGACTGCCTCCAAAATGAACCCAAGCACATGGCTCTCTTCCCCACACCCTCATGTTCTTCAGATTTTTGAGGTCTTTCCTCTGTTGTTCTCTGGCTCTGCGAGCTCCTAGATCTCCTTGACCGCATCATCCACCGTCCCTTGCTAGAGACTGCCCCCCTTCCACCATGAAGCGGCTCCTCGAAGCAATTGTGCATTATCATTTGCAAGTCGGGAGTATGGTGTGGAAGGAGATGATGCTGGGCATTGAGAGAAGGGGAGGGATAGAGTGTTCGGTCAGACTTAACACTTAATGGGCTAATGAAAACAATATTACTCAGTGTTTAGCCGCAAGGACTGACATATATGACGGTGGAAAGTAAAAGGATGTAATAAAATTGAAAAAAAAAAAAGGTTTAGGAACCTAATTCAAAATCAAGTTAAATTATAAGGGCCTTTATATTAATTATCCCTTAAGATAATTAAATTATTTTTTTCACTTTTACCCATACTAAATATAGGAGAGAGAGGAGAAATATGAGAGATAATAAAAGCGTAACATTAAAAGCAACTTCATGATTTTTTTTAATTAGGGATAAATAGGAAAACTTTATCATTTCAGGATACACGACTAAACTTTCATTTTTTGGTATGTGAAAAAAGTTAACTGGCTTCTTATATTATGTATTTGAGGATACAATGTTTAATTTTTAGAACAATATTCTTGAAAATTTTTAAAAGACATCCAATTTACCCTTACTAGGTGCTAGGCATCCTTATAATATTTTCTTTTCTTTTTTTTTCCTAAATTAAAAAGGTAGGCACTAACGGCATGAGAAATCAAGATTGAACGGCAACCTTTCAGTTACCAAAAAAAAAAAAATACATGTCATTAGGTTACAAAAACACTGGCATCCTTACATTATCTCCAATTCATTCATTATATAAATATGTCCGAATTGCAAGCATTTCATTTAAACAAAATAATATAATTTTATTAGCTCATTTTCTTTAAATGTCTTTATAATTAATTTTATTACTAATTATAAAATAGTGGTAATTATCTAAATACATAATCATAAACACTCCTAGGCTCCTTGAATTACTCGCTACAATTCTGTGGAAAAACTAATAGATGTGATTGCTGGTAGTTTATCATGAACGGCTCGGAATGTCCTGAAGCAAACCTTAAAACGACGTCATTTTAGGGCCAAGCTGAAACATATCCTGCTCCTTAAGTCGTTCCATTGGATAGTTGGACAGAGCTCTTTCCTCTTGCTGTGCATATGACCAGAGTTCACTGATGCCCTTTCAACGAGGGTTAAGTGGCCAGATTGTGTTTCGATTTTTCATTGTGCAAAATATTCTTTCTATAGTTACTGCAAATGACCACACATCAATAGGAAATCATTATTGTTTTAGTAGATAAATCAATAAATAGGGATGTCTTTCAGTTTCAATTAGCTTTTCTATGAGGTTTTTTTAAAAAAAATAAATAAATAATACACTATTGTAAAAGACTAGTTCTTTCTACCAAACTTGACCCCTTATTTTTTTATTTCAGGTTCCGATAAATAATGCAAATCCCACGTTAAAAACAGGTGGGTCCAATCTTGAAGGGCTAATTTCTGATGGGCTCAAAAAGCGTCTGCTTATCCCAGAAGGATTTCATTGGCAAAATCCAACCTTCAACCTCACAAGCCTATGGTGAACCCGGGGGCATCTTTTACATATATTTTAAATTTTTTAAATAATAAAAAACTCATAAATTCCTAATTCAAATCATAAAATATAGAATCACAAGTAAACCTCTCTGTTAACTCTTAACTCTGACGTTTAGGACCAAAGGAAGTATGTCTATCTTACCAGCAAATCAAATCACTACTCGTCTTTGCAAGCTGTGTTAACACAGACTATTTAGATGATAGAATATCTTTACTTTTCTATGTGTAATTCAATGAAGAAACCCAAATTAATCATTAATCGGAGCCCATCCAACTTGAAACTATAAAGCAGACAATTAAGGAAGCAGACACACACACGCACTATTAAATAGTAACAAAACAGAGCTTACATAAACTAATTTATGATCAAAACCACACTAACCTTAGAGAGAGCAGAACTGGCTGCACATGAATAATTTACAGAATATAAAATGCAAAACGAATCCATTTCAGACATCATTACAAATGAAAAGGAAAGGAGAAAGAATGCAAGACCTGGGAATCGTCAATCCTTTGTCCTACCCCTCTTCTTGGACCTAATGCCTCTCCCAAGCAGCACCATTGAGCCACACTAGATTTTTGTACAAGAAGAAACGAATGCCTTCTGATTATGGATAACTTGGTTGAATAAAGATCCCCTCAATTGCTTAATTGTTCAAGTGGATCGAAAATAGACAGGGGCAGGGTGCACTTCCTGGTGTGGTTCCCACTTTATTTCCATCTTTCTGCTCTCTTGAATAATTGAGCAATTGAGGTGATCCAAATCCGAACATAATCCTTTGTCTCATTTTGTAGCAAGCAAAAATCAGTACCAGAACCCCATTTACAGATATCTTGTGCTTCACTAAATTTCTCAATTGCTAACAAAGTATTGAAAGCAAGATTATAATATTTGCATCCACATTTTTATCTTCCCGACATCAGATTCATGAGATTGGGATTATTGTACAAGGCACCAACGTCCCAATCATCAGCAGTGGAAGAATGAAGTGTCATGAGAGCAACTACAATAGATCTCATAGTTGGACGCAGTTGGGGATTTTCTTGTGTGCATGCTTTTGCAAGTTGAGCCATCTGCAAGACAAAAGCCATGCATTGAATAATTGAAATCAGCAACACAAACATTCTCATAGTCTGGAAATGTATGGATCTTGCAAATTGCTTAGAGAAATTAAAATGGTGAATTTTATGAAGGAATAAAAAAAAAATTAATTTGTAACCGGTATTTCAGAACTAAATAGGATACACCACCAATTCAATAGCAGGTCTCGTGTGTTTATCCCTCCAGAGTTTATCACAAAAGTTTCAATAAAACTTAAGAGAATTCTAATACCCAATGCACATACTTTCAAAACTGAGTCAATAGGGTAGTCATCCCCCAGCCTTGGGTCAACCAATTTGCGAAGATCTTCCGTAGGAGCAGGCTGATTAAGAACTCCATGAAACTGCATTACATGAAATATGAATAATGACTACTGACAATGCATGGAGCCTTAAGTTTAGATTACTGTAAAAACATAATGCTAATTGATCTTAAACTATTAATAATGTTATAATGATAATAATATTACAAATATCTAAGAGATGAAGATTCAGGAATGACCATTGCTACAAGGCCCTTTGAGTCAGCATCAGATTGAGTTGTCTTGACGATGGCTTCCTTGGCGGAAATAAGTTCAAAAAGAACAACTCCAAAAGCGTAGACATCAACCTTAGGAGAGACATCACCATACTGAGCATATCTGTGGATAAGAGCATAATACTCTTAATATTAACATAATGACGTAATAGTGAAGTTTTTACCTCTAATGAACCCTAAAATGTATTCCTGAACAACATGAATATACACTGTTCCCTATTCAATCATACTTCAAAAACTTATATGTAATTAAATAAGCAAGCAAGATAAGATGCACTTGCTAACAATGAAACTAGAATGGCTGCGTTCTCTTTCATTGAAAAAAGAGACTCGAGGCTTGTTTGGGAATTTCAGAGAGCGCAGTTGTCATCAATATAGTGGGGTAAGATAGCGTGGAGTGGGAAGAAAAGGGAAAGTTCTCTCTCTCTCTCTCTCTCTATATATATATATATATATTGCTTATACATTTAATCGAAATAATGATAAATAACCGAAGACACCTCTTAATATCAAGAATTCTTGTTATTATTGTTCATTTCTTGATTTAGCCATATGTTTTACAGCTCACTTTGTAAGCCATTGGCCGTAGATCTTTCATACAGTTTTGAGAGAATCAATACAATGAGTTTTCATCTCTCTCTGATCCTTTTTCTTCCTCAATTTCTCTCCTTTCCCCAACTTCGATGCCAATCAACAGCCCTGTCCCTATTTGGAAGTTAACTAAGTCATCTGTGGATTAGAGTGGGTCCAAAGTATGAGCTTTCAACATTAATTGTATAGAAAAGAAGGAAAGTGAGAGTATTCGAATGACAAAGGGTTGAATCACAATTAAAAAAAAAAAAAAGGGGTATGGCATGAGGAGGAGGCATTTTTAAGCTTGTCCGTACCCACACTATTCTGAAGTTTTAACCATCCAAACAAGGGTTTGGGTTTTTCCACCACCTACACTGTCCTCCTAAACAAGCCCTCCCGTGGGCACGGGGGGGGGGGGGGGAAGAGAAGAAAAGATAAAGATAAAGGTTCTGAATCCAAAAAGGGCAGATGATGCATACTCTGGCGGCATATATCCAAATGTTCCCACAAGATGACCAGTGGGAAGTGATGAGTTTCCCACTTCAGCCAGTTTAGTTAATCCAAAATCTGCAACCTGCAAATATGAATATTTAGGAACATCTATAATAGCCCCAAAAATTAATATATAAGACAAACATCCTGATTATTTCAACCTTCCCATGGAAGCTGTTATCTATCAATATATTTGCCGACTTTATGTCACGGTGGATATACACAGGAACTGTATGCTCGTGAATATATTCAAGGCCTCTGGCAGAATCCAGAGCAATTTGAACTCGGGTAGACCATGGCAGCGGATCTCTTCCTGGCAACATTATGACATTGTATTACATGATTGCAATCCAAATGCAGAGTTAGTAGAAGAAACTACTTTAGCTGATCAAAAAAGAAGAAGAAGAAGAAGAAACCACATTAAGTTCTGATCTAACCTGTGCCACGCAGATGTTGACTTAAGTTTCCATTATCAATGTATTCATAAACCAGGAAAAGAGAGTTCTCAGTGCAATATCCAATTAAGCGCACCTACATGGCATTAAGACATACATATTTATTAATTGAACAAGTATTCTTTAATATTTGACCTACAGTTCTAAGTATTCAAATTATGATTTCCTTCCACATACACAGATACGTACTATATAGAAAAGGCGGGCTTTTTAAAAAAAAAAAATTCCAACCGGTGAATTAGAAGTAATTTCCACGTCAATCAAGCATGAAAAATTTAAGAAAAATAGCAACAGCTATAAAATCAAATAGATTCATCTTCTGTCTATTTTAAAATTTTTTGTACCTCAATTTTGGGATAGATAGATGTGATACCAAACAACAGTGGATTAGTGGATTCAGTTAAGAACTCATACCGAAGGAAGTTATTCAATGGCTAGACACCAATGTCAATTAATCTCTACTCATACAGATGGCACCATCTGCGTTTATGTCTTTGATCACAAACAGAAGCACAAAACACAACAATAATAGGCCAAACAAATGCTCGTAAGAGAAGTAACAATGGCAGTGACATAATGCACTTTTTCCATTGAAATTTTCCACCTGCTTCCTACATCACCAGGTATTTAAAAGCACTGTAAATTCTTATAGTTTGAGTGACTTAGTATACCAGGTTAAGGTGATGAACATTTGTTAGGACTTTTAATTCAGCTAGAAATTCTCTTGTTGCTTGCATATCCATCTTCTTGATTGCAGCTTTCTGCATGGAAAAATCATTCGAGTGAGCTTATTTAGGAGAATATACAATTCACATTTAAGGGAAAACATGGTCTAGCTATAAAGCACAAGCAATTATTGATCCATAATAAGAGCTTTATCAAGTAGTATGTAATTCTGCATGAATATTCTCCTCAACAACAACACATTTTTTTCTTTCATTAATTCATTCACTGATTTAGGTATCATGTCATTATATCTTTCATTATATGTAAAACCACAAAAAATGTTCTCAGCAAAACAGAAACAAAATCCAAGAGTTGGGGGAAAAAAGAGAGAGAGAGAGATTCTGTGTGAAGGATAAATATTGTCCAAACTGTTCCCCTACCCTGTATTCATGTTCTTTCCTCAGTTGGGCTGTTAAGGTATACTAAAGCAGTTTCTCTTAATCCTGCTAATCTATCAATTCCAGCTACCCTTCCACAATTGACACAAACAAAAGAAGATTCTGTTTGACTTGCTCATGCATATCACAGACAGAGTAGATATGGTCTCATCTTTACTCTTAAATTGGCAAAAACAAATAATTTAATCAGACCCAAACATTCATCAATCAATTATTAACAAACCAGAACAATATATGCGTTACTACCTCGCCTCTCAGCTCTGCATAATAGACAGCACCAAAGCCTCCTTGACCAATTTTATTAGCCAAACTGAAGTTATTGGTGGCAGTAGCTAGTTCTTCATATGAGAACTCCACTGATTTGTCCACTGTGATGCCAGTAGGACCACCATATCCTGAAGTTTCAGATTCAACATTAGCAGAGGCTTCATCTAACAACAGAAAGTAAAGTGACAATATGTGGAATTACTATCTTTAATTAATTTCTTAGAATGTGCAATAGAAAGAAAATAAATTGCAATGAAAGGCACAGCAAAGGATAATCTAGTGCAGCTGGAACAGCTTTCAAGTCATGTCAACGAAAACACAAGGGCTGGTTAGAAGGGATCATCGATTAGTTTATTTCTCCCAAGACCCCAATATTTCTCGTTCACTATTTTCTAGGAACATGGGGCCACCCTGAATGACGAACAAAAAATATCTACATAAAAAATTTTAGTAACAGCACCAGATACAGTAAAATTTTCCCTTTTGGGATTGTCGACTACAGATAAGGATAATGTGACATAATTAAACAGTCAAATGAGGTCTTTTGAGCTGGATATTATACGTATTGTAAAGTAAGTTATAGAAGAACTATTGAATCAAGTAAAATCTTCAACACCTTTTCTTTAGCCATGTCTAAAGGGAAATGGTAGAAGGTTTGAAAGAGGAAGGGAGTGATTGAATCAAAATAAGTACACTCTTCCAAACATGAGCAAAGAACCCTTGAAAATACTCAGAGTTAACTTTCAGAAATGGTAGAAGGACAAAAGGAAGGAGCTGATTGGATCAATTACATGTAATTACAGGACTAAAAGTCTTACCCTTCTCTTCTTCAACAGTGAACTCTTGGAACTCTTGAGAGATTAATTTTGTTTCAGCCATTTTCTTTCGGAAATATCCAAAATATATAGAAGCTGCCAACAGCAGAAGTCCAGCTACGACGCCAATAGATATTCCAGCAATAACCCCGCCAGACAGACCTGCTTATGAGGAATTAACTTCAGTTTTTTTTAGCACAAGCTGACCATTGACAGATATGAATGTCAAACTGAAGAGACAACGATCAAACAACCAGCTTTCTGAGAAGAGAAAAAAGCAAACCACCTGCTCTGGAACTGCAGAGTAAAAAGAAACAATATCACTGATAATTGTCCATTGAAGAATGGAAATGTTACACAACCAAAGTGCTGATAGCAATGCAAAGAGAAACACTTACCTAGACTCCATTGGAACGTAGATGCCATTTTGATCTGGAAAATAAAAGGAAAAATGAGACTGCGATGTTGAAAAATATAGAAGTTACCATGTAAGCTGCTTGTAAAAACTAGAAAGCATTAAACAGAAAAAATTACTATTTTTGCACTAAATGCTTCATAAAACTTGCCAGACGAAATCACCTTTTCCTGATGTTAACAAAAACCAAACCCTATTCATTCCATCAACATCATTTTCAGGCAGAAAGCAGAAAGCCTAATTATATAATCCAGATTTGATACTATACGGGCTCCAAGTTAGCATTAAACAAGTTTCATAAATGGAAACCTAATCTGAGGCCATGTGCAAACATACCTTTGAATTGATAACAGAAGACTAAGAAGAAAAATTGCAATTGGATATATGTTACCGCTTAGCATCACATACTGGGGTGTTTGGAAAAGATTTTCCAAGTGCCATGTGTTTATTGAAGAATTTTATAGCTATCACACTTAAACCATAAGGTCTTTTCAAGACTTATAACCATTAGAAGCAAAAGCAGAATATACCTTTGCCTGGTATATAAACCAATCCGCTCCCTTGGCTGAAATTCACACCAGGATTATACCTCTGCAGCAACCCAGCGTCAAGCTTCTCATTACTGGCAATTGATTCCAAAGTATCCTCAGGCCTAAGTGGCCATGTGATGAACAATCCATAGAGCTTTGATACTTCGCTGTTACCACAAGAACAATTAACAGCAACATTAAGTGTTCCACTTGCAGGTATTGTGTCGCCATTGAACTTCCTCAGTAACTCAACCGTAGTCAAATTGGAATAGTACGTCTCAGCAATAGTCTTGTAGGTATCCCCTCGGTTAATCTCGTACCGAAACATATGACCCAGATATCCATCTTCAAGACAATCACATGGAAACGGGATGTTGATTCTTGTAGTGGATTGGACATAATCTCTGCTGATTGTTTGGTCTTTGTTGTAGCTGATGATGTCGTTTTCGTCTGTCAGAATCTGGGATCGCACTTGTTGTGTGATGAATGAGAGATTGGAACCTGGCCAAACGTAGTAAGAACCTAGAGCAAGATCACAACCCTTGCTGCAACTGGACTCTGCTCCGGGAGAAACTGAAGCGAAGAAGAAGATGAAGAAGAAAGCAGAAATCCATGTTTGGGTCCATCAAGTGCGAGAGGAAGTTGAAAATTGAGAAAACCCAGGAGCAGATAAACCAAAAAAATGAACCAACCAGGAATTAAAAAAGAGAGAAGCTTTCTAGATTATTTTAATGGGGAATGTGAAAGAGGAAGAAAATTTGGAGCGTTTAACCGACCTGGCTAATGAAATGCCATTTGAGCTATGGATGAGAAAATTCAAAACCTGCGCGTCAAATATGTCATCAGCATTAACTAACAAAACGCCACCTACTTGTACGGTCAATTCCAGCTGCCTTTATTTTACGCATGGCGTAGAGAAATGGGAAGGGAACAGGGAAGCATGGCCTGCTTAGCAGATTGTCAAATCCAGTGAAAGTTTTTTTTTTTTTTAACTAAAGTCTTGTTAGAGACAATCCTACTTGAGACACTGTCAAGAGCACCTCTTCTAACAGGAACTCGAACTTTGATTTGCTACGTTATGAGAAACTAGTCTATTCCGCTAGACCCAAACCTGTTAGCAATCCAATAAAAGTTAATAAGCTTGCTCCAAAGTTTCTGCATGTGTGATGCTTATGACGTTAATTGGAGAATTGAATTTCAAAGTGAATTCGTTGACCCGTAATTTGGTATTTAAATATATTTAAAACATAAGATATTGGTAAAAAATAAAAAAAAGATAAATTAATTATAAAAATATGAGTTTATATTTCTAAAATACTTGTATATGCCATTAAATGATATATCAGTTTTGAAGTTAAGTAAATTAGTTTTAGAAAAATAAAATTAGAAACATAAAATGAAATGAAATCTTCTACTTTAATATTAAAGTTAATTCTAACTAATTCTTATTATAGGAATAGAATAAAGTATCATTTTTAAATTAGTCTGCTCTATAATTTAGTTGTGCAAGAAATCATGTAAATTAATTTAATGTTGTCTGGTTTATCAGGAGTAGAAATGAAAGGAATAAAATAAGTTCAATGTCCAATGCAGCAATTTGGACGTTTGAAGTCAAATTCAATGGGCTAAAAGTTACGTATCTTCCAGAAAATTACAATTAAATCCCCCCCCCAAAAGAAAACAAGTGCTAAAAATTATTATTTTCTATTCTGAAATTTATGATACATATTGCTTAAATTGTTATTAAGATTTTTTAATAATCATTTTTTGGACTTAATTATAATTCTTAAGATCAGACAAAACCAAAAAGTGTTTGAATAAAATAAACAGATATCTAAGGATGATAATTTTCATTTGAGATCAAGCATCTTTATTATAGATTTTTTCCAAAAAAAAAAAAAGACATTGTACAACTAAAAAACCAGCCAGGTTCATATATTACCAATAAGTCAACTAGTTTTTATTACTTTGGGCAGAGATTAATAACAAACAATTTTATCATCTTAAAAAGTTGTATAAAAGCAAGCTGAAGACCCGTTTGTTTAAGAACATAATTAATTCAAAGAGATAAGATTCAATTCTGCTTTGGAAATTTTCACATAGGATTTATAGGTATCTAAAAAAAATTGTAGCTTCAATGTTGTCGAATAAGCATTAAAATAGAAACAATATCGTCCAACTTCATCAATAGCCGAAGAAGACACATGCCACGTTATGCCACATACGATGCCACAGGGACATGAGTGTTTTTTTTTTTTTTGGGATCATTTTTATTCGAAAGTTTTTGTGAAAGAGCAATGTTGTACCAAAAATATTTGGAAAAAAAAACCAATATCACCCATATTTAATACTCCTCCGGTCCTTAATATAAGATCCAATTGTTAAGTTGATTTTGATTATAAATATAAGACCCATTTATCATATTATCAATTTTTCTAAATTATCTTTCTAGATACTTCCTTAACCACAATCAAGTAGAAGAGGGAGATGCGATATTAAGAAGATAATTATAGTGTTTTAGGAAAAACGTGTCATATTTCTTAAATTAACTAACTTACCAAACTTCCTTAATCTAATCAAATTAGTTAAATAGATCTTATATTAAGGACGGGGGAGAGTAACAAATGAATAACAAGCCTATGAAGACGGATCAAGACGCAAAGAAAGAAAAATAACAGAAACGATCATGACATAAGAGTACCACCCAAGCACATCAGCTGCAGACCATCTTCACCACTCATACGATGGCTTGGTTTAAACAAGAGAACAGCAATGGAGAAAATCAATCCACCATGAGATCCAACAAAGCTACCTCTCATGCATATCAATTGCAGGTAACTCCAAACATCAAGTTATATCATTTAAGCTGTTACAAGAATGAGGAATGATAACAAGCAAGTCATGGACACAGTGAGGTAGCCCAAAGAGTTAATGCTGATTGCTGAACATATTTGTAAAATATTATATGATGACATTTGAATAATTTCTATCAGACCCAAATAAAAACTGTGTGATAACAACATGTGCTATTTGACATGTTGGATGAGATAAGGTATATTTGCCTATTAAATCACCTGAAGACAGCAAACATGAAGGACACTGGTGTGAGGCCTATAAAATCATCTGAAGTCATAAAAATCAAGCTTTTGAGTTGATGCTTAATGTAAAAATCATTAAGGAATGTGATGAAACTAAATGGAAGAAAGCAAAAATAGAAACAAAGATCTTGTCCCACAAAAAAATACATGAAATTTAGTAATCCATTACTGCAAAATGTGTAATTGCTAGCGACGAAATCCTTCTTCTAGCTAATGCATATTGGTATTGCAATTATTAAACTCTAAACCAATATTACAAAAACTACAATGGCCCAAAACTTATAAAACAACTATCCAATAGCCATATCATCT